TATATATATTCTCAGTTGCTATTACCTTTATCTGGTATTTGACCTTCCCAGCAAAATGGAGGATGACGAAGGCTGGTTCCATCACTGGAGTTGGCACAAAGTAATGGTTCTGTTGGTGCTGCTGTTTGAACTTGGCCAGCAAGGTTTTATCAGTGGCGTGAGGAAAGCTATGAAGAAAGAAATGTACATCAGCACAAAAATTGGTGCTTATCTTTCCAAAATTTCAGAGAGCAATGAACCAATTCTTACTTGCTCTCCTCATCAAGTAAATAGAGGAGTCCAGTGGGCTTCTTGCTGATGAGGTGAATACAGCCCACGTTATCGGTGTAGTCGATGTTGTGCCAGGTGATGCCCTCGGCCTGATACTCCTCCTGCAGGCGGACGAACCACATATTGTGATCAAACTGCCATAAAATGGAGACTTTTGAAGGTTGCGACCATGCAAACCAGCCCACTAACCTGTTCAAGTTTAAAAATGTGCTGGTTGAAGTAATACTGAAGCTGCTCGTTGGCATAGTTGATGCAGAATTGTTCAAAGCTGTTGGTCTCAAAGTCTTCAAAGCCGAAGATATCAAGCACACCAATAGATAAACACTGAAATAATGGAGAAACCACATGACTGTAAGACCTTGAACATCCTTAATGCAGACTCTGATTGTTGCAGTTTCAAGCATCTTACCGAAACGGACTCCTCCATGTCTTTCTTATTAAGCAGCGCGTGATTGATGCGCAGGACAATCCAGTCGAACAGGGCGCTGTACAGTGACTTGGCCATGGAGTCTCGTGCGGTGATCGCCTGCACAAAACGACACTCGTTTATCTACAAAACACCTGGGCGCTCTGCTAACAGCGGCGTATGAAAGCGGACGGCTCTAGCGCACCTCGCTGTGGCTGTAGGGCAGAATCAGCTTGTCGTTCACAGTCACCGTTTTCCTCTTGGTAAGAGCCTCCACCAACAGCTCCTCCTTAACCTGGACGAAAACCCCAAAGAAAGCTTGAGAAGTGACATCCAAAACATACAACAAACTAGCCAGAGCATAAAACAAGCATGTGATCAGCTAAGGACAAAAACGGAGGAAAGTATTTTTTCCCCCCCAAAATCAACATATTAGGATGATTTCTTAAGGATCATGTGACACTTTATACTGGAGTGATGGCTGATGGAAATTCAGCTTTGCATCACAGAAATAAATTATATTTTAAAGGATATTAAAATAGAAAGCATTATTTTATATTGTAATAACATTTTGCAAGATTACAGTTTTTTTCTGTATTTTTGATCAAATAAATGCAGCCTTGATGAGCAGAAGAGACTTCGTTAAAAACATTACAAGTCTTACTGATCCTAAACTTTTGAGTGGTAGTGTATATATTAAATATTTTATTTTATTATTTAAATGATAAAAATGAACAAATCAATCAAGAAATATATTACGATTACAATAATACTAGTGTATTCAATAATAATAATATAAAATAAAACAGTATATATAATAACATTTTTTATTATACAGTGCAGTATGTACTCAATAATAATAATAGGGTTGGGGTTAGTAATAATAAAAACAACAACAATAATATAAAATAAAACCATATAATATAATAATAATTATTATTACGGTATTCAAATAATATTTTATTTTTGTATTTTATTTAAATGACAAAAATCAAACAAATCAATAAAGAAACATTACTATTGAAATAATACTAGTGTATTCAATAATAATAATAATAATAATAATATAAAATAAAACAGCATATATACATATTAATTAAAAAGTTATACATTGTCATTTTGCAGACGCTTTTATCCAAAGCGACTTACAATTGGGGGATACATAAAGCGATTCTTCTTAA